CGTGCTTTTCTTTTTTAGATTATCACATTAAAAAACGGTTTGCTATAACCTGCCATTAAATCATGAGTTTTAGGATAAAGGTTTTCGATCTTATATGAAACAATCCTTAATAAAGGTTTCCGCATGATTTGTGTTATTGTTTATTTCTTAACTATCGATTAAAAACGAGGTTTACCACTATTATTGAGTTTATTCAGGAGGTCTTTTCAGAACGGGTTTTTGAATTTTCAGTTTTAGGTAAGGTTAAGTTTAGGATTAGTGACTTGTATATAGAGTAAATTGAAACATGTCCTAGGTCCCGTTGCATCTACGGCCCAGTCATCTAAGTTGGACCGGGAGATGTGAAGAGCTAGATCCCGGTGCATCTTCGGCCCAGTAACCTAAGTCGTACTGGGAGATGTGAAGAGCTAGGTCCCGGTGCATCTTCGGCCCAATCACCTAAGCTGGATTGGGAGATGTGTAAGGCTAGGTCTCGATGCATCCTCGGCCTGACCACCTAAGCTGGGACAGGGGATGAGGTGAATCAAAAAGGAAAAAGATCCTAGGTCCCGGTGCATCCACGACCTAGCCACCTAAGCTGGGCTAGGGGATGAAATTTGGAAGGGGTGGCAATTAAAAGGAGCTCAATTGTTCTTTTAGGGAAAAGAGAATTCGTCGTGTGTGATGCAAAATGGTCTGTTGCAGTGATGAGGTTAACCCTCATAGAAGACTGGGCCACATTTAAGGTCCTGCCGCCCTGGACCACCACATCCCACGTGCTGTCCTAGAGTCGGACCTGGGAGGGCCGCATACTTACCCCTTGCACAGGTTAACAGATTGGTTGTTAGCACCGTTAGGTTACCTCAAATCTGCCCGGACAAGGCAGAGGCTGTCGGGTTGTCTATTGCTGCAGGATGAAGGCCCTAGAGGAGATCCTTCTCTTTGACAGAGATAAATGGGAACCTCTCAAGGCCGCCAAGACAAGAGCACCCCCCGAGGGACCCACCAGGACCAGCCGCTGCCTTCCCAGGCCTCCCCAGGGGAACGAGGACCACCAGGACCAGCCACAGCAAGCTGTTGCCTTCCTGAAGGCCTCTGCGTTCGCCCGTCTCCAGTTGCCCGCAGGTCCCAGGAGCCCAGAGCGGGCTCCGGGACCCCAGGGCCCCCGAGCAAACCCCTGTACTCCATACAACGCACAGCCCCAGGGGATGCTGGAGTTCCTAGGTCATCTCCTGTGCCTCATACACCGCACGACCCCAGGAGATGCCACAGCAATAGACCTGTGCCTCATACATCGCATGACCCCAGGTCTTTGCAACAAACAACATAAAACATATAGTAAGATGCTTACCCCAAGAGCTTCTTCTCGCAGTCCGCAAATCGGTCAGGATGAATTTTAAAAAATTACTGCATTACCCTGGGGAGGTCACTTTTTCACATGCTTGTTACTATCATGGTTCACCTCATTGTTACAATATTTTGCTCTGTAATTGTGTAGTGCTCCATTTTAGAGTTAAAAAGTCATCGTTTTCTGATTGCCCTCAACGAGACGAATAATTTGATATATAATATGTCAATATCCGACTTATAATAGATAGATTATTTTACCTTTAATGTCTTAGGAATATTCAATCCTGCCATGATGGGAAATAAATGGGTGTACCCCATTTTGTCATACTTCCTCATTCCCAGCATGCTTTGTGCCGCATTTACCTGCACCATGAGTGTATCTAGTATGAGCAAGAAGGATATCCCTCTCATTTCATTGGTTGTCTATGACTGGCAGGTGTCCCGCCGTAGGGACTGGCAGGTGTCTCCCCGTAGGGACTGCCGGCCCCAGCCACTGAACCTCTTATCCTCATTGCCATGAGGGGTTTGTTGTCAAATATTAATATCTTGTGAAATTAATAAGCAACCTTTAACTTCCTCTCCAAAGAGGAAGTTGTCATCCACCTATTTCCTGTAGCCTAGCCTAGCTTATAACAATTAGCTTAGCATCAGTCTAACATTAGCATCCAAGCAAAAGTTGTATATTTCCATATCCCTTAAGGATAGTTATTTCCTGTTCCTTAGCATAGCATTGTATTAGCCTAGCATAGCATTAGTCGCTAAAGGTAATTTTAATTAAAGTGTTTAATTCCAATTTAGGAAATTATGACCTCTATCCTCCTCCTGCAAGGGGAAGTTGTCATCTGCCTATTTCCTGTAGCCTAGCCTAGCTTATAACAATTAGCTTAGCATTAGTCTAACATTAGCATCCAAGCTAATTTCAAAATTATCTCCATATCCTTCAAGAATATTTATTTCCTGTTCCTTAGCCTAGCATAGCATTAGCCTAGCATAGCATCAATCGCTAAAGCTAATTTTTTATTAAAGTGTTTTAATTCCAATCAGGAATTTACGACCTGCTATGTCTCACCGTCAAGTGTAGTAGCAAAATATAAGCATGACCTAGTATTAGCTGCTCAAGCTAATTTTGTCAAAATGTTTAATTCAAATGTTCTGAGAAACCAAAACGTATATCTCCATGTCCCCCAAGGATAGTGACCTTTTGTTATTTCCTATTTGTTAGTGTATCATTATATTAGCCCAGTATAGTGTTAATGATTAAAATATTCATATTAATTAGGGTTAGGTTTTGTTAAAGTTGCTCTAAAGTATGAGAATGGGGTTTCAGGGGCAGGGGTAACGGTTAAGTTTAGGGTTAGGGCCGGGGGTTAGGGGAAGGGGACTGAGCCTGCCACCTCTGTGAGGCAGGAAACGCACGGGCCATCCCTCCCGAAGGAAGGGTTAGGGTTAGGGGTTAGGTTAGGGGAATTGAAACTCCTCCCTGCACGAGGAGGGCAGGAGTAGGTGCACGCTCCGCACCATGACCCTTCCCGAGGCCCGTCACGTTGTCGCCACCCCATCTACCGTATCCGGCAATCCCCAGGTCCGAATTAAGGTAAGTACCGTCCTTTTCTTTTTCAGGTTCAGGTAAGTACCAAATTATGTTTAATTTTATCGAATTTGTGTTTAATT